CTGTCACCAGGTGCCAGGCTGGAGTGCAGTGGTGCGACCTCGGCTCACTGCAACCTCCACCTCCCAGGTTCAAACAATTCTCCTGCCTCAGCCTCCCAAGTAGCTGGGACTACAGGCACGCACCACCACGCCCAGCTAATTTTTTTGTATTTTTAGTAGAGACGGGGTTTCACCATGTTGACCAGGATGGTCTCAATCTCTTCACCTCGTGATCCACCCACCTTGGCCCCTCAAAGTGCTGGGATTACAGGCGTGAGCCACCACACTCAGCCATTCGCAGTATTTTTAATTTAACTCTGACAGGGGCTCAGAGTCCCACCTCAGTACAGGAAGTTGTGCCCACCCAACAGAAAGTCCCATCCTCCTCTGTTGGAATGGTTTGGCTGACATTTCAAACAGCTACCCAGAGCCCCTTGCTGTGGATAGTGGTTAAACTTATGGATTCCAGCTCTACCTCATACAGACTGTGTTTCTTTTTTTCTTTTTTTTTTTTCTGAGACGGAGCCTTGCTCTGTTGCCAGGCTGAAGTGCAGTACCACAATCTCAGTTTACTGCAACCACCACCTCCCCGGTTCAAGTGATTTTCCTGCCTCAGCCTCCCGAGTAGATGGGACTACAAGTGTGTGCCACCACATCGGACTAATTTTTGTATTCTTAGTAGATATGGGGTTTCACCATGTTGGCCAGGATAGTCTCGATCTCCTGACTTCATGATCTGTCTGCCTCGGCCTCCCCAAGTACTGGGATTACAGGCATGAGCCACGGCGCCCAGCCAAGGCTGTGTTTCTTCGGGTCATTTCCTTAACCTCTCTGTGCCTCATGTGTGTCAAGGAGGAGATAATAGTAGACACCCCCTTGTGTGTCAAGCGTTGAGTGAACGAATCTACATGAAGTGCTGAGTTCTGTATCTGCCATACCGTGTCCGTAGTGTTGGCTGTTTACTGCCAAACCCTGGCTCAAGTTGTCTTTGCCTTTCACCACCATTCCCCTACCTCAGTAGTTGTAGCTGTGCCATTGAGCACTTGCTCTGTGCTCTGAAGCTGTGGTCCAACCCTTGCTGGGTGTCTAAGGGAGGGAGCTATAGGGGAGATTTGGATCCTAATCCTGCCCACCCCCCACAGTCTCTGCTGACACAGAAGTGGTGGGGACACATGGCCAGCACCACACCCATCTGGGCCCTGGTTCTCGCCTTCTTTTGTCCCCCACTCATCTACACCCACCTCATCACCTTCAGGTCAGTCCCTTGGGGTGACAGTGGTGGCAACGGGGGTGGAGTGCTCAGTTTCTCCTTCCCGCTTGCTCCGCCCACCTTTCTTCCCTGGTCTGCCCATTATGCTGCTTCCCTGGGAATGGGACTCTCTTTCCCTCCACTAAGGGAGTGTTGTGGGAGGTGAGTTTTGGGGGGATCCTCCCTATGGTGTCTCTTGCAGCAGTTTCTCTGCCTTTCTGGCCCTGGCTCTCAAGGAAGCTCCCTTTTGGGTGACTTTAGGGGGCCACCTCTCTGTCTCTGCCATGTGTCTGGGGTAAGAGGTTTGAGTTTTTCTGGAGAACTCCTCTCCACCTTCCCTTCCCCTCATTTCTTACTCTGTGCCTCCCTCCTTGCCAGGAAATCAGAAGAGGAGCCCACACGGGGGGATCTGGAGTTTGACATGGATAGTGCTGCTAATGGGGAAGGGCCTGTCGGGTGAGTGGACCCCCCAGCACTGTGTGAGGTGGGGACACCCTGGGCAGCTTCAGGACATGTGTCACTTCCACGCTGTTAGTCCCCTCTTGAGTTGCTACAAAGGAATACCGGAGGCTGGGTAATTTATAAAGAAAAGAGGTTTCATTGGTTAATGGTTCTGCAGACTGTACAGGAAGCATAGTGCTGGCATCTGCTACCGGTGAGCCCTCAGGACACTTCCACTCATGGCAGAAAGTGAGGGAGGAGTCAGTATATCACATGGTGAGAGCAGAAGGAGGAGTTAGGGGGTGGCCACACACTTTTAAACAAACAGATGTCATGTGAACGAACTGAGCAAAAAGTCACCAAAGGGATGGTGCTAAGCCATTTGTGAGGGACCCACTGCCAGGACCCAGACGCCTCCCACCAGGCCCCACCTCCAATATTAGGGATTACATTTCTTTTTCTTTTTTTTTTTTCCCTTCCTCCCTTCCTTCGTTCCTCCCTCCCTCCCTCCCTCCCTTCTTCCTTACTCCCTCCCTCTCTCTTTCCTTCCTTTATTTCTTCTTTCTTTTTCTTTCTTTCTTCTTTCTCTTTCTTTCTTTCTCTTTCTTTCTTTTTCTTTCTTCCTTTTCCTTTCTTTTCTTTTCTTTCCTTCCTTCCTTCCCACTTCTCTCTTTCTTGTTTTCTTTTTCTTCTGTCTCTGTGGCCCAGGCTAGAGTGCAGTGATGCAGTCTCAGCTCACTGCAGTCTCTGCTTCCTGGGTTCCTGATCCACCTGCCTCAGCCTCCCAAGTAACTGGGACTACAGGCGTGCGCCACCACACCCGGCTAATCGTTGTTTTTGTTTTTGTTTTGAGATGGAGTCTCTGTTGCTAGGCTGGTGTGCAGTGGCGCCATCTTGGCTCATTGCAACCTCCGCTTCCCAGGTTCAAGTGATTCTCCTGCCTCAGCCTCCCAAGTAGCTGAGATTAAAGGTGTGCGTCATTATGCCCAGCTAATTTTTTTGTATTTTTTGTAAGATGGGGTTTCACCATGTTGGCCAGGCTGGTCTCCAACACCTGACCTTGTGATCCACCTGTCTAGGCCTCCCAAAGTTCTGGGATTATAGGCGTGAGCCACCACACCCAGAGATTTGGAAGGAATAAACATCCAAACTATATAACACATCCCATCAGGGACTGAGATACCGAGGAAGTTTCCCAAATGCCAAGTTCACGGCTTGGCTCAAGATGTGGTTCTGTCACCAAGGAGGCCATCGCTAGAAACTGATTTGCTTCATGCTTCAAGTACTTCCATTCCTCTGTAGCAAGCAGGATCAGTTCATTTAGGGATTTTTAAACTATTTTTCTCATGGCCCCAAGGCCCCTGCTTCTAATCACTATGCTATGGTCCCCATAAAAGTGTTTTAAAATTGAGGCCTAAGCAAATGAAATAGAATATTTATCAAACTTCTTTTTTTTTTTTTTTTTTTTTTTTTTTTGAGGCAAGATCTCACTGTGTCACCCATTCTGGACTGCAGTGGTGTGACTAGGGCTTCTTGCAGCCTCGACCTCCTGTGCTCAAGTGATCCTCCCCTCTGAGCCTCCCAACTAGCTGGGACCACAAGCATTTGCCACCATACCTGGCTAATTTTTAAAAAAATTTTTCTAGAAGTCTGGGTCTTGCTAACCCCAACTCCTCAGCTCAAGCGATCTGTCCACCTTTTGACGGGAGATCTCAGAAGTCAGAGGTTAGATACAAGAGAAAAAGCTGAGAAGGTGGTCTGGGCCGTAATCCCAGCACTTTGGGAGGTCCAGGCGGGCAGCTCACCTGAGGTCGGGAGTTGGAGGCCAGCCTGGTCAATATGGTGAAACCCCGTCTCTACTAAAAATACAAAAATTAGCCGAGCTGGTGGTGCCAACCTGTAGTCCCAGCTACTCGGGAGGCTGAGGCAGGAGAGTCACTTGAACCCAGGAGGCGGAGATCTCGCTCCAGCCTGGTGACAGAGTGAGACTCCATCTTAAAAACAAAACAAAACAAACAAACAAAAAGCCAAGAAGTGGGAGCTGGGCAGACTGAGTTTCGGGTCAGGCAGGGTCAGATGTGGCAGGCCAGAAGTCCCCATCATGGTGGAGATCAGGACTCAGGGGTCAGAGCGAGGCCTCCTCCCTTCTCTTCTCTCCCCAACAGGCCGGGGGATCCCGCGGAGAGGATGTCGCAGGGGGTCACACGCCAGCCGGGCCGCCGGGGCTGCTGCAGGGGCTGCTGCGTGGGGCACGGGTACCTGCGCCGCTGGGCGCACTTCTGGGGCGCGCCGGTGACAGTCTTCATGGGCAACGTGGTCAGCTACCTGCTGTTCCTGCTGCTGTTCGCGCGGGTGCTGCTCGTGGACTTCCAGCCCTCGCCGCCCGGCGGCCTGGAGCTGCTGCTCTACTTCTGGGCTTTCACGCTGCTGTGCGAGGAGCTGCGCCAGGGCCTGAGCGGGGGCTGGGGCAGCCTGGCCAGTGGGGGCCCCGGGCCTGGTCATGCCTCACTGCGCCAGCGCCTGCAGCTCTACCTGGCCGACAGCTGGAACCAGTGCGACCTAGTGGCCCTCACCTGCTTCCTCCTGGGCGTGGGCTGCCGGTGAGTGCCCCGGGGTCCTGGAACCGCGCTCCCTGGCCACCTCTCATCCTCCCTGCCCACTCCAGGGTCTCCACTCCCGGGTGTCCACTTCTGGGTTCCCTGAAGCTGGGCAGCAGGTCAAGCCAACCCGGCTGACTGGAGAAAAACGAAACTCCTCAGGAAAGTTGGGCATGACGATTGCCCTGGGGTAATAGGCTGGCACCTGGAGATCTGGCTTTAGGGATGGCAGGATTCTAGAGAAAGCCCCACTGTCCGCCACTCAGCCTCTGCTATTTATTGCTAGGTCTCAAAGTTACCAGATGTTTCTGGGAGGCCTTACCTTACCTCCTACCTCCTCTTCATCCACACAGCTTGCATGGCTCAGGCCTTGCCCTCCTGCTCCCAACTTTCTTTCTTTCTTTGTTTTTTTTGGTTTTTGTTTTTTTTTTTTGAGACGGAGTTTCGCTCTTGTTACCCAGGCTGGAGTGCAATGGCGCGATCTCGGCTCACCGCAACCTCCGTCTCCTGGGTTCAGGCAATTCTCCTGCCTCAGCCTCCTGAGTCGCTGGGATTATAGGCACGTGCCACCATGCCCAGCTAATTTTTTGTATTTTTAGTAGAGACGGGGTTTCACCATGTTGATCAGGATGGTCTCGATCTCTTGACCTCGTGATCCACCCGCCTCGGCCTCCCAAAGTGCTGGGATTACAGGCTTGAGCCACCGCACCCGGCCTGTTTTTTTTGAGATGGAGTCTTGAGACTCCGTCGCCCAGACTGGAGTGCAGTGGCGTGATCTCGGCTCACTGCAACCTCTGCCTCCCGGGTTCAAGAGATTCTCCTGCCTCAGCCTCCTGCGTAGCTAAGATTACAGGCACCTGCCACTATACCTAGCTAATTTTTTTGTATTTTTAGTAGAGACAGGGTTTCACTGTGTTGGCCAGGCTGGTCTCAAACTCCTGACCTCATGATTCACCCACCTCGGCCTTTTAAAAAGTGCTGGGATTACGGGTCTGTCTGTCTTTCTTTTCTTTCCTTTTCTTCCTTCCTTCCTTCCTTCCTCTCTCTTTCTCTCTCTTCCTTCCTTTTTTTTCTTTCTTTTTTTTTTTTTTGATGGAGTCTTGCTCTGTTACCCAGGCTGGAGTGCAGTGGTGTGATCTTGGCTCACTGCAACCTCTGCCTCCTGGGTTGAAGAGATATCTCATTTCAGCGCTCCAAGTAGCTGGGATTACAGGCGTGCACCACCATGACTGGCTAATTTTTGTATTTTTAGTAGAGTTGGGGTTTCACCATGTTGGCCACACTGGCCTCGAACACCTAACCTCAGGTGATCCGCCCGCCTCGGCCTCCCAAAGTGCTAGGATTACAGGCGTGAGCCACTGGGCCCAGCTTTTTTTTTTCTTTGGTAGTTACGGAGTCTTGCTACGTCGCCCAGGCTGGTTTTGAACTCCTGGCCTCCCACATTGACCTCCCAATGTGCTCGGATTACCAGCATGAGCAACTGCACCTGGCCCCCTGATGGATTTTGTATTCAGGGCAGTTAAAGTCATTTCAATTATTTTCGATTTTACTTTATGAAATTATTTCAACTTAGCTAATTGTTATCGGGGTTAAGTTTTATAACACATTTGATTCCTCATTCATGTTTTGGTTCGTACTGAATTTTGCCAAAGTCTAGGGTCTGTGTCTGTCAATAGCCCTTGGTGCCTGTTAGCTCTTTCATGTCCAGTTTTCCTGGGTCAGATTTCATAGCTTCAGATTTCATCAGGGAGGCTGGAATGCTCTGCCAACATTTTTTTTTTTTTTTTTTTTTTTGACAGAGTCTTGCTCCGTGGCCCAGGCTGGAGTGCAGTGGCTCGATCTCATCTCACTCCAACCTCCACCTCCTGGGTTCAAGCGATTCTCCTGCCTCAGCCTCCCAAGTGGCTGTCTTGCTATGTTGGAATTACAGGTGGGATTACAGACACCTGCCACCATGCCTGGCTACTTTTTTTTGTATTTTTAGTAGAGACGAGGTTTCACCACGTTGGCCAGGCTGGATTTCGAACTCCTGACCTCAGGCGATCCACCCCACTCTGCCTCCTAAACTGTCAACTTTTTAGTCATGAAACCCTTGGCTGTTTCTGTGTATTTCTTAGCTAAGGCTACACAAAAAACCAATTGTGAGGAATTTTCCTCAACTGTTTTCTGTTGCTGGGACTGGGCCGCATGGTGTTAGTTAATTTCTTCCCCAGGTTCCAGACCATATAGTTAGTTCCCGAAGGAAGGGGAAGGCGTAGGTCAGAATGCCCTTGGGAACAAATTGCCTTGTCTTTGGGTCCTGGCACATGCTGTTCCCATTCCTGAAACTCTTCCCTTCCCTCCTCTGCCAAGCCAACTCTGACCCTTCCTACAGACGTCATCTGCTGTCCTTGCCTTTGGAAGACTTTCTTACCCTCCTTCAACCCCAGGTCCCTCTCTGGTGGTGCCCTGTGTTCTTGGATGAGGTCTGTGCAAACCTACCTTTGAAGGCCAAGGGGCGCTGAGAGGCTGAAGAAAGAGGCTGACAAATCCAGCTTTTCAGAAGTAAACATTCAGTGAGGATTCATGAACAGAAACTCTGTCTCAAGGTGGATCCCTCAGCCCACCCTCCAGAAAAATATTCATTCTAATTTTTTTTTTAAGATGGAGTTTCACTCTTATTGCCCAGGCTGGAGTACAATGGCGCAATCTCAGGTCACTGCAACCTCTGCCTCCCAGGTTCAAGCCGTTCTCTTGCCTCAGCCTCCCGAGTAGCCGGGATTACAGGCATGTGCCACCACACCTGGGTAATTTTTGTTGTTGCTGTTGTTTTTTTGAGACAGAGTTTTGCTCTTGTTGACCAGTCTGAAGTGCAATGGCATGATTTTGGCTTGCCGCAACCTCTGCCTCCCAGGTTCAAGTGATTCTCCTGTCTTAGCCTCCTGAGTAGCTGGGATTACAGGCATGTGCCACCACGCCCGGCTAATTTTGTATTTTTAGTAGAGACAGGGTTTCTCCATGTTGGTCAGTCTGGTCTTGAACTCCCGACCTCAGATGATCCGCCCACCTCAGACTCCCAAAGTGCTGGGATTACAGGTATAAGCCACTGTGCCCAGCCTCTGAATTTGTTTTTTAAAGATAGACACCAGGTCTCACTAGGTTGGTCAGGTTGGTCTTACACTCCTGGCCTCAAAGCAGTCCTCCCACCTCAATTTCCCTAAAGTGTCAGGATGAAAGGTGTGAGCCACTGTGCCCAGCTCAGAAAGTAGTAAGCCTTTTTTGTAAAACACATGCAGCTGGTTTAGAGAGTTTGTGAAACTCTGGCCACTGGGGAAGTTAGATAAGCATCTTTATGAGGGCTTATCTCTGCCACAGGCATTATTTCTTTATGAGGGGTTATCTGTACAGACATCATGGGTCATTGAAGCCTCGCCCAAGACATCTTGCTGCCTCAGCCTCTCAAATAGTTAGGACTACAGGCGCGTGCCACCGTGTCTAGCTAATTTTTTTTTTTTTGATTTTTTATTTTTTTTTTGGTAGAGATGGAGTTTCACCATGTTACCCAGGGTATAACATTTTTAAATTTTAATTTGATATTTTTATAGAGACATGTCTTGCTCTGTTGCCCAGGCTGGAGTGCAGTGGCATGATCACGGCTCACTGTAGCCTCAGCCTCCCTGGCTCAAGCCATCCTCTTACCTCAGCCTCCCAAGTAGCTGGGACTGCAGGCATGCACCACCACATCTGCCTAATTTTTATTTTTAATTTTTTGGTAGATACAGGATCTCAAGATCTTACTATGTGCCTTAGCTGGTATCACACTCCTAGCCTCAATGGATCCTCCTGCCTCAGCCTCCCAAAGTGTTGGCATTACAGGTGTAAGCCTTTGCACCCGGCAACGCCTTTTAAATATTGGCTATTACCAAAGAAATGCAGAAATATGGCCCCATTGAACAAGAGGAAACAAATGAAGGACACAGAATATAAACCAAGGATTTTCCTCCACTGTTATAAGCATCCTGCTTTTCTCAGTGGTTACCTCCATCAGTAGTTTGGTGCACATCCTGTCTGTTCTTTTTCTATTCATTTACATGGACAAGTACACAGAATTCTCTTTACACCAGTTACATGATATTTATGTATCTTCTGGTAACTTTTTCTTTCTCTTTTTTGGAGACAGAGTCTCACTCTGTCGCCCAGGCAGGAGTGTGGTGGCACAATCTCTGCTCACTGCAACCTCTGCCTCTCGGGTTCAAGTGATTCTCCTGCCTCAGCCTCCCAAGTAACTGGGATTACAGGCATCTGCCACCACATCCAGCTGACTTTTTGTATTTTAGTAGAGGTGGGGTTTCACCGTGTTGCCCAGGCTGGTCTCAAACTCCTGACCTTGTGATCCACCTGCCTTGGCCTCCCAAAATGCTGGGACTACAGGCATGAGCCATTGTGCCTGGCCTTTTTCTTTTTTTAAAAGACAGGGTCTCACTAAGTTGCCCAGGCTGTTCTTGAATTCCTGGGCTCAAGCAATCCTCCCACCTCAGCCTCCAAAAACCTTTTTCTTTTTCTCTGCAGCGTGTCCTGAGACTCTTTCTATGTCAATACAGTATTTGCAAATGTACTTTATTTTTTGAAAACACCACATCAGAGTCCAGAAGAAAGAATTTTAGCCATCCTTGACTAAAGATCAGATGAGACACACTTCTTGACAGAATTTAAGGAATGTGGTGTTTTCATAAGGCAGTGAAACAAAAATTCTGAGCTTCAGGAGATGGAAATCAGCCTAAGAATTTCTCAACAACATCTCTTTCATTTTCTACTCCAGATAATATGAGGGCAGGTGCCGTGGCCCACACCTATAATCCCAGCACTTTGCAAGGCTGAGGAGGGAGGGTTGCATGAGGCCTGGAGTTTGAGATCAGCCTGGGCAACATAACAAGCCCCTGTCTCTACCAAAAATTTAAAAAGTGGGCCAGGCGCAGCGACTCACGCCGTAATCACAGCACTTTGAGAGACTGAGGTGGGTGGATCACCTGAGGTTGGGAGTTCGAAACCAGCCTGACCAACATGGAGAAACCCCATCTCTAATAAAAATACAAAATTAGCAGGGCATGGTGACACGTGCCTGTAATCCCAGCTACTCGGGCTGAGGCAGGAGAATCAATCACTTGAACCCCGGAGGCAGAGGTTTTGGTGAGCTGAGATTGCACCATTGCACTCTAGCCTGGGCAACAAGAGCAAAACTCTGTCTCAAAAAAAAAAAAAAAAAATTAAAACTTAAAAAATGAGCCAGGCACGGCGATACGCCTTGTAATCTCAGGTACCTGGAAAGCTGAGGCTGGGGCCCAGGAGTTTGAGGCTGCAGTGAACTATGATTGTGCCACTACACTCAAGCCTGGGTGACAGCGAGACGCTCTCCGTCTCAAAAAAAAAAAAAAAAAAAGAAAAAGAAAGGTAATATAAAAAGGTTTTAAAATTTATTTGTTCTTTTTATTTTTTGAGACAAGATCTCAGCTCTGTTGCCCAGGCTGGAGTGCAGTGGTGTGATCTTGGCTCACTGCACACACTTCCTCCTGGGCTCAAGCGATCCTCTCCCCTCAGCCTCCGGAGTAGCTGGGACTACAGGCGCAGGGCACCACAGCCGGCTAATTTTTGTATTTTTTGTAGAGATAGAGGTTGCCGTGTTGCCCAGGCTAATATAAAGTTATGATCAGGTAATTACTGCTTTGGTTCCAGTTCTCTGCTGATGGGGTCTCCTCCCTCCCTCCCTTTCTTCCTTTCTTTCTTTTTCTTTCTCTCTTTCCCTCTCCCCACTCCCTCCCTCCCTCCCAGCTACGAGGACACTCCTCCTTTTGAGGAGAGCAAACAGAAAACTCTGTGGACACAACCTGGTGACTGGTTTTTGTTTGTTTGTTTTTGTTTTCTTTCTTTGTTTTTTCTTGAGATAGAGTTTTGCTGCGTTGCCCAGGCTGGAGTACAATGGGACGATCTTGGCTCACCGCAACCTCCACCTCCTGGGCTCGAGCGATTCTCCTGCCTCAGCCTCCTGAGTAGCTGGGATTACAGGCATGCACCACTACACTGAACTGATTTTTTTTTTTTTTGTATATATATATTTTTTTTGGTAAAGATGAGGTTTTGGCCTATTGACCAGGTTGATCTTGAACTCCTGGCCTCAAGTGATCCACCCGCCTTTGCCTCTGAAAGTGCTGGGATTACAGGTGTGGGCCGCCGGTGCTCAGCCAACAACCTGGTGACTCTTTACAAGGGACCTGACGTGTCCTGAATGGTGGACAGTGATGACCCCCAGCTGAAGCTTTTCTTAGTAGACGCGCTGAGAGGCAGGCTTCCTCTAAGCTGTGTTACAAAGTGATTCAACATAAATAATTTCTTTAAGCAGGGAGCAAGATGTGAGAGTTTTACAGAACACTAATACTTCCATTTATCTTTTGTTGAATTTTGTACAAAGTGACTTTTGAGATGAAAGAGCTAAGGCCATTTGCTACCATGCTCTAGGATTACCAGCGATATTTTGGACAGTTTATCAAGCCCAGCACTTTCGAGGTGAAATAAGCAGTATTACATGAGAAAAATGGAGAGATCTCAGCTTACAAGGGAGAAATGTCTAATCATCATCAGAATTGAATGGATGAATCATCCTTTATTTTGCCAATTCCCTCTAGATGGACACTTAGGTTATTAGGTTATTTCTGTCTTTCTTCTTCTTCTTCTTCTTTTTTTCTTTTCTTAAATCAAATGGCCTTGCTATAGTCTTTCTTCTTTTTTTGTTTTAAATAGAGATGGCGTCTCACTGTGTTGCCCGGGCTGGTCTCAATTTCCTGGGCTCAAGCAATACCTCCTCCTTGGCTTCCCAAAGTGCTGGGATTACAGGCTTTAGCCGCTGTGCCCAGCCCTGTTTATATGATTATTATTCCAGAATAATAAAAGTTTACATCCCAGATGTAAAGTCCCTGGGTCAAAGGGTACATATATTCTTGACATGATAAGGTTTCCTACTAAGTGGCTTCACCCATTTCCACGCCCACCATCAGGGCGAGAGAGTGCCCCCTAGAGGACATGCTCGACAATGCCTGATACTTTCACTCTTAAAATGTAGCTTTCTTTTTTTGTTGTTTTTTTGGTTTTTTTTGGTTTTTTTTTTTGTTTTTTTTGGGGGGGACGGAGTTTCGCTCTCGTTACCCAGGCTGGAGTGCAATGGCGCGATCTCGGCTCACCGCAACCTCCGCCTCCTGGGTTCAGGCAATTCTCCTGCCTCAGCCTCCTGAGCAGCTGGGACTACAGGCACGCGCCACCATGCCCAGCTAATTTTTTGTATTTTTAGTAGAGACGGGGTTTCACCATGTTGACCAGGATGGTCTCGATCTCTTGACCTCGTGATCCACCCGCCTCGGCCTCCCAAAGTGCTGGGATTACAGGCTTGAGCCACCGCGCCCGGCAAAATGTAGCTTTCAATTGAACTGAAAACAAATTGGCCAATTTAATGGGTAAACATGACCTCTCCTTGTTTTAATTTATGCATTCTTGACTTCCAGGTAGGCAGGACATCTCTTCCTAAGCTTAAAGGCCACATGTACTTGTTTCAGTTGTCTTCTTTGCACCCCAATTTTTAAAATTGGGGTTCATTGATTATATATATAATATACATATATATAATCATATATATTTATATATGATAATATTATATATGTATGTGTCACTGTTCTCCTTATACTCTGGATCCTAATCCCTGGTAGTTTTGTTAGTCTTAATATCTTCATCTCTTCTTGAAGTTTGTGGCTTTGAGTCTTTTCACTTTCACTTTTTTTTTTTTTTTTTGAGACAGAGTCTCACTCTGTCGCCAGGCTGCAGTGCAGTGTCATGATCTTGGCTCACTGCAACCTCCTCCTCCCGAGTTCAAGCGATTCTGTTGCCTCAGCTTCCCAAGTAGCTGGGACTCCAAGCACGTGCTACCACACCCAGCTCATTTTTGTATTTTTAGTAGAGATGGGGTTTCACCATGTTGGCCAGGATGGTCTTGATCTCTTGACCTCGTGATCTGCCCATCTCGGCCTCCTGAAGTGCTGGGATTACAGGCGTGAGCCACTGCACCTATCCATACACTAGGTTTTTAATCCATCCAAAGTTTAAATACTTGAGGATGCAAAATAGGGGTAGAATTTTTATTTTCTCCAGGGGAATGACTGCTGTTTACTGGCCATTTGAATTTCCTCTGTGAATTGTACTTGGTATCCTTTATCTGGCTTCCTTCCTTTTGTTTATTGGTTTGCATGGTCTCTGTATGATTTGCCTTTTATAGATTAGACAGCTATTCTGGCAGTTTTTCCAGCTTGATTCTTAAAAGGACCAGCCCTTTGCTGAGACCATTGTTCATCAGTCATTACTGAATAGGTGCAACCATTTTATTTCTTCTTCTTCTTCTTCTTTTTTTTTGAGACGGAGTCTCACTCTGTCACCCAGACTACTAGAGTGCAGTGATGTGATCTCAGCTCACTGCAACCTCCGCCTCCCAGGTTCAAGCGATTCTCCTACCTCGCGCCTGCCACCAGGCCCAGCTAATTTTTGTATTTTTAATAGAGACGGGGTTTCACCATGTTGGTCAGGCTGATCTCGAACTCCTGACCTTGTGATCCCCCCACCTCGGCCTCCCAGCGTGCTGGGATTACAGGCGTGAGCCCCCGTGCCTGGCTGTGCAGCCATTTTAAAAATAGGTCCCAGTGCCCTGCGTGGACCAGCACTGAGTCCACGCAGGGACTGAGTCTGTCCCCGCTCCCTGGGTCTCTGTACCCCTGTCTCTAAGAAAATGCCTCTGTCTCTCTGAGTCTCTGTCTCCCTCTTTCTCTGAATCTCTGAGTGACACCCCACATCCTCCGCCATCATCTCTCTGGGTCTCTGCCCACCCCACTCCCTCTTTCTTTTTTTCTTTGAGTAAACCTCGGGTGACTTGGAGGGTCCTGGTCCTGCCCAGTGGAGGCTGCGGCTTTACCTGAAGCATGGCATTGGGGAGACTCAATTTTCCTTGGCATCTTGTGACATTTGAGTGACCCTTGCGGCATCTCCCCACACCCCAGGCTGACCCCAGGTTTGTACGACCTGGGCCGTGCTGTCCTCTGCCTCGACTTCATGGTTTTCACGGTGCGGCTGCTGCACATCTTCACGGTCAACAAACAGCTGGGGCCCAAGATCGTCATCGTGAACAAGATGGTGAGGGGCGGGGCTGAAGTGGGCGGGGACAGAGGGAAGGGGTGGGGCCAGGGAAGGAGTGGTCTGTGGAGAAAGGGCGTGACTTTGGGCAGTAGGGGGCGTGGCTTTGGGATATAGGGGTGGGGCGAGAGTGGGGAAGGGTGGGGCCAGACTCAGCCAAGCCTCCCTGCAGGTGAAGGACGTGTTCTTCTTCCTCTTCTTCCTCGGCGTGTGGTTAGTGGCCTATGGCGTGGCCACGGAGGGGCTCCTAAGGCCCCAGGACAGTGACCTCCCAAGTATTCTGCGCCGTGTCTTCTACCGTCCCTACCTGCAGATCTTCGGGCAGATCACCCAGGAGGACATGGACGGTAGGGAGAGATGACAGGGCCTGACAGCCTCCCTCTGAGCCTCTCTGTCCCCGCTCCCTGGGTCTCTGTACCCCTGTCTCTAAGAAAATGTCTCTGTCTCTCTGAGTCTCTGTCTCCCTCTTTCTCTGGATCTCTGAGTGACACCCCACATTCCCCCGCCATCATATCTCTGGGTCTCTACCCACCCCACTTCTGTCATTTCCTTCCTTCCTTCCCTTTCTTTTCTTCCTTCCTTTTCTTCTCTTCTTTTTTCTTTTCCTTCCTTCCTTCTTTCTTTCTTTTCTTTCTTTCTGGTTTGAGATGGATTTTTACTCTTGTTGCCCAGGCTGGAATGCAATGGCGTGATCTCTGCTCACTGCAACCTCCGCCTCCCAGGTTCAAGCAATTCTTCTGCCTCGGCCTCCCGAGAAGCTGGGATTACAGGCACCCGTCACCACGCCCAGCTAACATTTTTGTTACTTTTAGTACAGACGGGGTTTCATCATGTTGGCCAGGCTGGTCTCGAACTCCTGACCTCAGGTGATCCGCCTGCCTTGGCTTCCCAAAGTGCTGGGATTACAGGCGCGAGCCACCGGGCCCGGCTGTCTTTCTGTCTTTGTTAGATCTCTGTCCCCTTCGCCCCATCTCTGAGTGTCTCCCTTTACAGTGGCCCTCATGACGCACAGCAACTGCTCGTCAGAGCCCGGCTTCTGGGCACAGCCTCCCAGGACCCAGGCGGGCACCTGCGTCTCCCAGTATGCCAACTGGCTGGTGGTGCTGCTCCTTGTCATCTTCCTGCTTGTGGCCAACATCCTGCTGGTCAACCTGCTCATCGCCATGTTCAGGTGAGGCCTGATGGCTCTCTGATCTGACCACACCCAGCATGACCTGTGACCCTCTCATGATTCTCAAACCCTGACTAATCAATTTCTGTCTTTAGTTCCTGAACTCTGATCAAATCTAATGCTGCCTTCTCCCCAAATCCAACCAGACCCTTCCTGGTACAACTGATTCTTGTGCCTCAGCCTCCCAAGGAGCTGGGACTACAGGCGCATGCCACCACACCCAGCTAAGTTTTTGAATTTTTAGTAGAGACGGAGTTTCTCCATGTTGGCCTCAAACTTTTGACCTCAAGTGATCGGCCCGCCTCAGCTCCCAAAATTGTTGGGATTATAGGCGTGAGCCAGTGCGCCCAGCCAACTTTGTTTTTTATTATGGTAAAGTTATATAAAATTTGCCATTTTTACTTTTTTTTTTTTTTTTTTTTTTTTTTTTAGACAGTCTCGCTCTGTCACCCAGGCTGGAGGAGTCTAGTGGCATTATCTTGGCCCGCTACAATCTCCGCCTCCCAGGTTCAAGGGATTTTTCTGCCTTAGCCTCCTGAGTAGCTGGGATTACAGGTGTGCGCCACCGTGCCCAGTTCATTTTTGTATTTTTAGTAGAGATGGGGTTTCGCCATTTTGGCCAGGCTGGTCTCGAACTCCTGACCTCAGATGATCCACCCGCCTCAGCCTCCCGAAGTGCTGGGATTATTATAAGTGTGAGCCACCGTGCTCTGCCCATTTTTAAGTATACAAGTCAGTGACATTAATTACATTTACAGTGCTCTGCAGTGGGCTGTTGTGGCTAATGTTGGTTGGAGCATTGGCATGGAAGCATCTATTTGAATGCTTGTTTTTATTTTCTTTGATTATATATCTCAAAGTGAAATTCCTGGGTCATATGGTAAATCTACGCTTAGCTTTTTGAGAAACCACCAAACTGGTTTCCACAGCAGCTGCACCGTTTTCTGTTCTCACCAACGGCATATGAGGGCTCTAACTTCACATCCTAGCCAACACTTGTTATTTTTCTATTGTAAAAATTATAGTCATCCAGCTGGGCGTAGTGGCTCATACCTTTAATCCCAGCACTTTAGGGGGCTGAGGTGGGAGGATTGCTTGAGCCCAAGACTTTGAGACCAGCGTGGGCAACAGAGCGAGGCTGCTGTCTCTACCAAAACCCTTCACACATGCAGCCTGAAGCTCCTGGGCTTCAGTGATCCTCCCGCCTCAGCCTCCAAAGTAGCTGGGACTACACTTACATGCTGCCACACCTGGGTAACTTTATTTTTATTTTTAAATTTTATTTATTTATGTATTTATGATGGAGTCTCCCTCTGTCACCAGGCTGGAGTTAAGTGGCGCAATCTCAGCTCACTGCAGCTTCCGCCCACCTCCCAGGTTCAAGCCATTCTCCTGCCTCAGCCTCCCGAGTAGCTGGGACTATAGGCGAATGCCACCACACCCGGCTAATTTTATGTATTTTTAGTAGAGATGGGGTTTCGCCATCTCAGCCAGGATGGTCTCGATCTCCTGACCTTGTGGTCCGCCCGCCTTGGCTTCCCAAAGTGCTGGGATTACAGGCATGAACCACCACGCCCGGCCCGCTGTAGGAATTTTCATAGGGATTGCGTTCAGTCTGTAGATCACTTCGGGTAGTACTGATATTTCATATAGGTGTTCTTTTTAATGCTTTTCCAGCATTATTTGGTCATTTTCAGGGTACAAGTCTTTCACCCTTTGGGTTAACTTTATTCCTAGGTGCTTCCCCTTTAGCTGCTCTCGTAAGTGGAATTGCATTCTTTTTTTTTTTTTTTTTTTTTTTTTTGAGATGGAGTTTTGCTCTTGTTACCCAGGCTGGAGTGCAATGGCGCGATCTCGGCTCACCGCAACCTCCGCCTCCTGGGTTCAGGCAATTCTCCTGCCTCAGCCTCCTGAGTAGCTGGGATTACAGGCACGTGCCACCATGCCCAGCTAATTTTTTTGTATTTTTAGTAGAGACGGGGTTTCACCATGTTGACCAGGATGGTCTCGATCTCTTGACCTCGTGATCCACCCTCCTCGGCCTCCCAAAGTGCTGGGATTACAGGCTTGAGCCACCGCGCCCGGCTTGGAATTGCATTCTTAACTTCCTTTTTGGATTGTTCATTGCAGCGTGTAGAAACAAAACTGAGTTTTGTGTGATCTCGGACTCTGCAACTTTGCTGCATCTGCAGCTCTAGAAGCTTTCTTGTGATTCTGTGGCATTTCCTATATATAGGATCATGTCATCTGTGAATAGAGATATTTTCACTTCTTCCTTTCCAATTTGGACGCCTCTAATTTTTTTTCCTGTTTAATTGTTCTAACCAGAACTTCCAGTACAATGTTGAATAGCAGTGGTAAAAGTGGATGTCTTTGTCTTTTTCCTGATTTTAGGCAGAAAGCTCCCAGTCTTTCACCATTGGGTATGATGTTAGTTGTGGGTTTTTCAGAAGTACCTTTTCTCATGTTGAGGAATTTTCTTTCTATTCCTAGTTTATGATTTTTAAAAATTATTATGACTGGGCATGGTGGCTTATGCCTGTAATCCCAATACTTTAGGAAGCCAGAGAGGGAGGATTGCTTGAGGCCAGGGGTCCAAGATTGACCTGGGCAACATAGTGAGATCCCATCTCAATAAAAAAATAAAAAATCGGCCGGGCATGGTGGCTCACACGCCTTTAATCTCAGCACTTTGAGAGACCGAGAGGGGTGGATCAAAAGGTCAGGAGTTCGAGACCAGCCTGACCAACATGGTGATACCCCATCTGTACAAAAAATACAAAAAAAAAAATTAGCCGGGTGTGGTAGTGCATGCCTGTAATCCCAGCTACTCAGGAGGCTGGGGCAGGAGAATCGCTTGAAACTGGGAGGTGGAGGTTGCAGTGAGCCAAGATCACGCCACTGCACTCCAGCCTGGATGACGGAGCAAGAAAAAAAAATAGCCAGGCATGGTGGCGCATGCCTGTAGTCCCAGCTACTCAGGAGGCTGGGGCAGGAGGATGGCTTGAGCCCAGGAGGTCAAGGCTGTGGCTGCAGTGAGCCATGCTTGCACCACTGCCGTGATCGTGCCGGCAACAGAGTGAAATCTTAAAAAAAAAAAAAAATCAATGCAGTGTATTACATTGATTTTTGTATGTTTAACTACCCTTACTTTCCTAGGATAAATCCCTCTGGGTCATGGTGTAAAATCCTTGTAATACGCTCCTGAATTGGATTTGCTAGTATTTTTTCAGGATGTTTACATATATATTCATAACTACTGGTCTGTACTTTTCTTGTGATACATTTATCTGGCTTTGGTATCATGGCAATGCTAGCCTCATAGAATGAATTAGGAAATGTTCTCTCCTTTACAATCTTTTGGACAAATCTGAGAAACATCAGTGTTATTATAAACCTTCTTTATATGTTTGATAGAATTCATCAGCACAGCCATCCAATTTTGGGCATTTCTTTATTGAAAGATTTTTGATTCAGTCTCTTATAATATGTCTGTTGAGATTTCTGTTTTTTCTTGAGTCAGCTTAGGCAATTTATGTGTTCCTAGGAATTTGTCCATTTCATGTACCTAGTTTGTTGACATATAATTGTTGATAGTATTCTCTTACAGTCCTTTTTGTTTCTGTAAGGTCAGTAGCAATGTCTCCATTTTCATTTCTGATGTTAGTTATTTGTGTGCAGGCTAACTGCTGAGCACAACCCTAACCTGACTTCAACCTCCACCTTAGGCCATGACACCATCCCCAACTTGACCTCTGATATCTGACCCTCGGCCCTTCTAAACTGACGTGTGTGTGTGTGTGTGTGTGTGTGTGTGTGTGTGTGTTTTCTGTCTCCCAGGCCAGAGTGCAGTGGCTTGATGTTGGCTCACTGCAACCTCCGCCTAGTGGATTCAAGTGATTATCCTGCCTCAGCCTCCCCAGTAGCTGGGATTACAGGCACCCACCACCACATCCGGCAAATTTTTGTATTTTTAGTAGAGACGGGGTTCACCATCTTGGCCAGGCTGGTCTTGAGCTCTTGACCTCAGGTAATCCACCCGCCTCAGTCTCCCAAAGTGCTAGGATTACAGGCGTGAGCCACAGTGCCCTGCCCTAACCTGACTTCTAATCGCATCCTGTAACCTCCGACTTTAGTGATCTTGACTTATGTCTGCTGCCATGGACTTCGAACAATTATTACTTGGCATCCCACCTTGCCCCTGGCAGGGCTCTGACCTGAAGTGACCTTTGATCTCTCGCCTCTGCAGCTACACGTTCGGCAAAGTACAGGGAAACAGCGACCTCTACTGGAAGTCGCAACGCTACCGCCTCATCCGGGAATTCCACTCTCGGCCCGCGCTGGCCCCGCCCCTTATCATCATCTCCCACTTGCGTCTCCTGCTCAGGAAATTGTGCCGGCGCTCCCGGAGCTCCCTGCCGCCCTCCCCGATCATCGAGTATTTCCGTGAGAACAGAGCTTGGCTTAAAAAGGAGAAATACAAGGGACCGGGAGCCTGGAAGGCGCGGGGATGGGGCAGGCCCCTAATGACTAGTGGGCGTGGCTTAGGTAGTGAGGGGCGGGGTTAAGCAGCACGCGGCCGTGCTTAAGTACTGAGGGGTGGGGCTTACGGGTGAGGAGCCGGGCATCTGGGGCCGGGTCTGGGAGAGAGTGCCCTGATGGGGCAGCTGCGCTCGGGAAGGGGCGTGGCCTCAGCCCTCTGACTCCGTCCGCCCCTGCAGGAGTCTGCCTTTCTTCGGAAGCGGAGCGGAAGCTGCTGACTTGGGAATCGGTGCAAAAGGAGAACTTCCTGCTGGCACGCGCTCGGGACAAGCGGGACAGCGACTCTGAGCGTCTGAAGCGCACTTCGCAGAAGTGAGGGGTGGACCTGGTCGGGGGCGGGGCGCCTGGCCTTGGTGGGGGGGGGAAATCCCGACTTCCGCCTATCGGAGGAAAGGGGTGGGGCTTACGCGGAGCCGGGAAGAGGGCGGAGCCTGGGGGCAGGGTGCTGGGAGGGAGGAAAGAGGCCGGGAAGCAGGCGGAGCTGCGGGCGTGGGTGGGCTGCGGGTGCCCCCAGTAAGAGGCCCTCCCTTCTCAGGGTGGACAGTGCGCTGAAACAGCTGGGACACATCCGCGAGTACGAACAGCGCCTGAAAGTGCTGGAGCGGGAGGTTAGGGCTTGGGGCCTGGCTGGGGGACTGTGGCGGGGGTCGGGCAGGGGTTCGGTCTCCTGCTCTGACATCCCTCGCGCTCCCCAGGTCCAGCACTGTAGCCGCGTCCTGGGGTGGGTGGCCGAGGCCCTGAGCCGCTCTGCCTTGCTGCCCCCAGGAGGGCCGCCACCCCCCGATCTGCCTGGGCCCAAAGGTCAGTGTGTAGGATGAGCCTGTGCATCTCCAGCCTCTGTTCCCGTATTTTTGCGTGTTTTTCTCTCTGGGCGCCTTTCCAGTGGGCCTGGGTCACTCTCTTGGTCTCCTTTGGGCATTTTGTCCTCCTGTCTTCGTGTTTCTTCTTTTTTTGCCAGTCTCCCGGTTTTTCTCTGCCCTCTTCCCCGCCAATCACCTGTTCTCTCTTCTGTCTTCCGCCTAGACTGAGCCCTGCTGGCGGACTTCAAGGAGAAGCCCGCTCTAGGGTTTTGCTCCTAGAGTAAGGCTCATCTGGGCCTCGGCCCCCGCACCTGGTAGCCTTGTCCTTGAGGTGAGCCCCGTGCCCATTTGGGCCGCTGTCGGGACCACCTTTGGGAGTGACATCCGTACCAACCACAGCATGCGGCTCCTCCCAGAACCAGCCGCAGCCTGGGAGGAGGAAGTCCTGGAGCCCCAGCTGTAGTCCAGGGACAGGCTGGAGGGTCCTTGGGGTAACAGGGACCACAGACCCCACTCGCAGATTCCTCACACTGGGGAAATAAAGCCATTTGACAGGAATCGTGTCCGGAGGCTTGATTCTTGGGGGAACTGGTGGGTGTCTAGATCCTTCCAGGATGGGGGCTGGAGCTGGGGTGGTGGGTTTGGGGTTCTTGGTGGGTTTGCTGCTGCTGATATTTTGGAGTCTCTTTCCTCCTCTCAGGCCTAGTGTTTCTGCCTGACTGAGACCCAGCACCTTCTGTCTGCAGGGTTCTGGCGGCTGTGACTTCTGTAGGACAAGACCCCATGTGTACCCCCTCCCACCCAGTTTCAACTTCCCAGTGGAAAAATAACTCAGTGATCATAAGTGAATTATCTCCTGGAGAGGGGCCGGGCGGGTGTTGTGTACATCTGCTTTGGCAATAGGGAAACGGGTGACGCAGATTTGGATAAATGCATGTGTGTCTTTAAAAAGTCTAATTAGCGGGAAATTGCAGGCCAGGCGCACACAGGGGTGAGGCAGACAGGCATGATTACACATGCAGTTTAACTAAATAACCCGTAACTAGCTAAACTGGTAATGACAAGGCTGCACTGACAGCAATTATTAGTTAAATAACAAGAAAGCCACCAACAACCAACACATCCAAAAATCAGACCCAAAACATCCTTCCTTAATTGGAGGAGAGCCAAGTATCTGTCACTGTGGGTGCAGAGTAGCTCTGAAACATTGCCAAGTGTGGTGCCGTGACCGCGACTTCTCAGGGAGATGCTGTGTTAGCTCTCAGCAGCCCAAGTAGAAATAAAGTAATAATCACCTTAATGAGGGTGGCAGAGCAGCAACCTCCTCCCATCCCTGCCTCCTTCCTTCCTTCCTCCCTCCTTCCCCCCCCTTCTTTCCTTCCTCCCTCCCTCCCTCCCTCCCTCCCTTCTTCCTTCCTCCTCTCTCCCTTCCTCCCTTCTGTAGGGCTGAGGGCCCCACAGGGTCGTGGGGTGAGCCTTATGCTGTGCTGAGGCGCAGGATCCAAGAAATAAAGAGACAGGACACAAGTACAAGGGAAAAACAGCTCGAGGGGCCACGCCACCTATGAGCGGATTCAGGCGAGGCCCCGAATGTCCAGAAGCGTGAGTATTTATTGTGTATACTTTAGGGGGCAGGGCAGTGAGTGAAGTCATCTTTAAGGATAGTGATAGGATCGTGAGCAATAAAACATGGGGCCCACCCCCATTAGGTCACCTAGGCCAGGAGATGGACAGTGCACAGCAAGGGTCCCGTTCCCATGAAGGCAGGGGCCGTGTGCAGTAAGGGGTCCACCCCTATTAGGTCACTGAGGCTTGAAGGTGGGCCGTGCGCAGTGAAGAGGGTGCAGTGTGCAATACTTCTATCTTTGGGAAACTACCTTTTTTTTTTTTTTTTTTTTTTTTTGAGACGGAGTTTCACTCTTGTTACCCAGGCTGGAGTGCAATGGCGCGATCTCGGCTCACCGCAACCTCTGCCTCCTGGGTTCAGGCAATTCTCCTGCCTCAGCCTCCTGAGTAGCTGGGATTACAGGCACGTGCCACCATGCCCAGCTAATTTTTTGTATTTTTTTTTTTAGTAGAGACGGGGGTTTCACCATGTTGACCAGGATGGTCTCGATCTCTTGACCTCGTGATCCACCCGCCTCGGCCTCCCAAAGTGCTGAGATTACAGGCTTGAGCCACCGCGCCCGGCTGGGAAACTACTTCTAAGAAGATTTATAGGAGGATGCTTTAAGTCACATAGCACTGACAGAGCTGTCAAGGTTACCGCCACCTGCTGGCAGCTTCCAATGGGTTCTATGGGAAGATGCTTTTCGAGCAGCACAGTAGCAAGAGCTGATAAAGTTCACAGTCACCATGATGGATTGCTGTTCTGAGGGCAGCCTTCCACAAGAACTGGAGCAAGGTCCTACCACTCCTTTATCAGGAGGAGTGGCTCTCGCCCCAAGCCTGCCACACAG